AGTAGCTGGAAAATACAGAATTAGATATAGAAATTCTGCTAGAGATTGCATGGTAGAATTTGGTAAGACCAAAGACTTATTCCTTGCAAATAACTTTTTTAAATAACATAAACAGTGACTATATACATTGGTATAGATTGAATTTGTGTTCCCCAAAAATATGTGTCAACTTAGCTAGGCCATGATTCACAGAATTGTGTGGTTTTCCACCATTTTTGTGATCAGGATTGGAGGAAGACTCATTAACAACCTGCAATATTCAGACAACACAACCTTGCTTGCCCTCCAGACTATGGGTGTTGGCCACACTCTCAGAATTCTGCGTGGAGGCTATTCAACCCTCGGCTTCAGCTCTGCCTTTCAGGTCCGCTGCAAAGGCAACTCTGCTCCCTCAGATTTGTGCAGCCCCGTTCTCCTAGTTCATCTGAGAGACAGCCCCGCCTCCTCAGCTTAGAGCAGCGAACCTGGCACTCGTGAATGGCAGTCCCACACTCCAGAACCAAGCTGGTGAAGAGCTGATTCTGAAATCCCAGAGCCCATTGTCCACCCTTTGAGACTGAGGCAGCTCTGCCTCCTCTGTTCCTTGTCTCTTCAGCAGCTTCCTGGTTCCTTGGCCTCTCAGCCCCTTGGGCCTCACCACTCGTGTCTGCCCTGCTGGGGCTTGTGTTCTAAAGCTCTGTAGGCCACAGATAAGTGCCTAGAGGCACCCTACTCTGCCAGTAAATTTGGGCCAGAAGGCACTCAGCTTTCTTACTCTGGGGGTCAGCTCCAGTGCTGTCTTGCGATGGTCTCCTGGTTCTGTTGTTGCCGTTTCTGTGCTGCTGTTTTGTGCCGTCTGCGCAGTCTGCAGTGCCATCTTCAGTGTAACAGCTCTCCCACTTCCTTTTGAGTCCTCACCAGAATTATCTGACGTCCATAATTCCACTAACAGTCTCTTCAAGGCAATCTAGGTTTTCAGTATTAGGCACTTTAAAACTGTTCCAGCCTCTATCCATTCACAGTTTCAAAATCACTTACACATTTTAGGTATCTGTTACAGCAGCACTCCATTCTCTTGGTACCAAATTCTGTCTTATTATCTAGTGTTGCTATAACAGAAATACCACAAGTGGATGGCTTTAACAAACAGATCTATTCTCTTACAATCTAGGAGACTAGAAGTTCAAATTCAGCATGCTAGCTCTAAGGGAAGTCTTTCTTTCTCTGTCGGCTCTGGGGGAAGGTCCTTATCATCAATCTTTCCCTAGCCTAGGAGCTTCTCAGAGCAGGGACCCTGAGCCCAAAGGACACACTCACTTCCTGGTTCTGCATTCTTGGTGGTAGGAGGTCCCCCTGTCTCTCTACTTGCTTCTCTCTTTTATATCTCAAAAGAGATCGGTTCAAGACACAACCTAATCTTGTAGCTTGAGTCCTACTACAGTAACATAACTGTTTCTAATGCTACCTCATTAACGTCATAGAGGTAGGATTTACAACACATGGGAAAATCACGTTAGAAGACAAAATTGTGGACAATCACACAATATTGGTAATCATGGTTTAGCCAAGTTGACACACATTTTTTGGGGACACAATTCAATCCATAACAGAAGCTTCAGATGAGATTTTCAAATTGGCCACAAGAAATAGTTCGGAGAACCAACATATGAAAGGCACCCTTTAGTAAAGAGAAAAACCTACCACTTGCCTTGAGCCCATTGTGACTCATGGTGAACTCGTGCATGTCAGAGTAGGTTTGTGCTCACTAGGTTGTCAATGCTATTTTTTCAGGAGTAGATCACCAAACTTTTCTTTCTAGATGTCTCTGGGTGGACATGAACGTCCAACCTTTTATTTAGCAGCTGAGCATGTTAACTATTTGCACAACCCAGGGACTCCATAGTAAAGAGAAGGAATACTTAAATACATAAAGGAATATAGTTCTAGAAACACACCATTGAGTAGTCATAGAATCCTAGAAAGGAAAGAAACAAATTTAATTACAAGTAGAAGTGGATATTGGGCCTGTGATTTCATACCTAAGAATTTTATCTCCATACACCTGGTAGAAGATGAAATAGGAAAAGAATTATGACAGGAAAGCTGCTTCTTCTTTTTCTTTTTCTGTCTTAAATGATCTTGCTGAAAATGTTTGTTTTTGACGTGGCATGGCGCTTTGAATCAGCCAGACACCTTCCATGATGTGTGAGTGGCCATCCTAACATTATTAAAACCATCTGTTTCTGCCAGCAGAAATGCTTTTATTTTCACAAAAGTTAACCTAGAAACACAGAGTTCCACCTTTAAAAGGGGATCTCAGCACCCATTACAGGGAAGAGACCAAGTGAAGTATGTTCATGTGATGAAACATACGACACATTTCCCTAAAAATCCATCTGGATAAATTATGGTAGTAAGACTAAGCAAGGCCAATTCACATCAGTTATCAAGGGTCTGCAATGGAATAGCTAGAAAGATTAACTTTTTCCATAAAATAATGTCAGAGAGTAAGAGGTATTACTCCCCCACGTACTCTCACCATATCTGGGAAAGCAAGTTTGCTTGGGGTTGATGCCAAAAAGTGGTTGCGGCAAAGATCAGATCTATTCAGAGAAAATTGTTTAGAAAAATAAGCCAGACTGATTGCTAAACAGAAATATTCTGCTAGAAAATAAGTAGATACACAAGAGAGATTTCCCCCAGGGACAGCGCAACTATTTCCCATTTAAGAGCACTTAGTGTTTGAAAGCATGCAAAGGCTATTTTAGAATCCGAGTGACTTCCTGAGATCAAAAAGAAGTGTAAATTTAAAAAGAGTATATGTTAACAATACACCTGGACTCTCCTAGATAGTTTCATGAAATCTTTAAAGGTAAGCTCATTATACTGATGGGCTACTTCATGTAAATGTATTTCCAAATATGAAGTTCAAGATACAACTGATGAAATTCTGAAAAAAACTGTATTTGAAAATGAGTTAACTACTTAAGATACACATGCAGCCCCCAAACTTTCTGAATTATAAATTAAATAAAATCAGATGCAAGGCAAATGATCTTAACAATGGTATTTATTATTTATAATAAAATACCCCCACTCCTTACTTATGGACTCTGTTAGGATCCAAAGACCATATTGTTATTGTAAAATTGGAGTTATGCAAAAATGGAGGATTTTTTTCTGTTTTCACATCATCTATTTGTACAATTTTTTTTTTAGAAAATATAACCATAGAAGTATTGAAAGGAGATGTGTGGAAATTTCACATTTATTGTTTAGTACCAGCAGTATTGGCTTAGCTTCCTTGGTATTGTGGTGTTGTTAATGCCCAGCTTGCATAGTTCACTTTTGCATGCTCGTATGATTTTGATTTATTTTCTTCCTATCTTCCCTCTTGCTTTCCCATAATTTTCAAGTTTAACTAAGTTTCTCTTTGAGAGGTAGAGCGACCTTGTAGGGTGGCAGAAAACATTGATAACCCTTAAGGACTAGGATTAACTTATCTGCGACGTGACAATAAGAGTGCCAGATGACCTTCCAGGATTCCCAATAAGAAATTAGATCATCTGGGTAGTACAAAATGTAACCAACTGAAGAGAAACTATAATTCTGTCCCTATAAAAACTTTCAGCCAGTCTCCAGTGGGGAGAAAGGTCTTTTGGAGAAGCTCATTCCCCTCTGTCTCCTGTATATTGATATACAATAAAACACTCTTCCTGCTCAGTATTGGCTTCTGCGGCAGGCTGCTCAAACCCACCATTGTTGTAACAGTAAAAACAGCTAAGATTTACTGATGTGCTCATCACTGTGAAGGGTCCAGTTATTGATTATTTCTCTGCGGAGAAGGATTGGAGGAGACAAAGCTGGATAAAGCCAGGCTGTGTGACTGGAGAGCCCAAGGCTTAACCACATCATCTTCCTCCTGTGCTAGATCAGAGATCCCATCATGGAGCTGCCTCAAGTGTTCCACTCCCACCCCTGCAAGCCCTGCATTCAAGATCTAGAAGGCTACTCTGCCTTTCAGGCCTGGCGAGTCCCTGTGGTTCAGGGCTTCCTGTGAAGGTGCTGAGATCCTGGCCGTGCACCTGGCCTCACTGAGATGGAGGTTTTAGGCCCAGTTTGGCTCACTTTGGGATGTCATTAAACTCACACACATTTCTTCCAAAAAACCTCTCAGATGCCTCTTTCTTTCCTCACTTCCTAAACCACAGCAATTTTGAGCTGCAGGGCCTCAGGTCAGATAGAAGCTGAGAACTCAGAACAGGTGTCCTCTGGCTCGGTACTTCCTGCCTGTTTGCCTAGAGGCCATGGCCATGAAGAAGACCGGCTAGCCTGGTAGCTGGATGCAGAGGGAATGGAGAGCGTGGGGGAGTTTGGCCCAGCTTCCTGGAGGCTACCCAGACACCCTCCACAAGTAAGGGGATGATCCACAGCTGTTGCCACCATGGCCACTGCCTTTTAATGTGCAAAAGTTTGGATAGTAGATTATTTACTATTGCTGTAAGTGTGACACGTCAGATAACGAGACAGGCAATAAGTGGGGAGCAGGTGTAACTCATTTAAGGTCATTTTGAAAACTAGTATTAATAGAAATAGGGAAATATAAGCAAATGCTTGTCTGATCACCTTCATACTGAACATTATTAAGTCAAAATCATTAGCTGATTGGACTAGAAAGGAGTATGGGGTAGTAGATTTGAGGAGAGAAGGAAATACATGAATAATTGATCTGAAAAGTTGGAGAGTAAATATTAGACAAGTGTAATATGAATTGTCTAGTAGTGTCAGTAACTGCTTGATGTCTAAGGATATTAACAGAAAGTGAAGCAAGGCAGTTCATTACAATCCAGGTTTAATAAAATATACCAGGATTTTATTTTTTGAATTGATTTTAATAGCATTATCAGTTCATTGTTGAAGTTTCAAATCACATTCCCTAGATATAGAACATGGTTATGGTGGAATTAATTAAAGAGACATGTAGGTTTATTCATGCACCTATCCAATTAATAGAAGTAAAAATGCTTTTCAAAAATGTGAAGGTATTAATCATCTTGAATTTACAATATCTACAGATGGAAAGGAAACCCTGTTGGCATAGTGGTTAAGTGCTATGGCTGCTAACCAAAAGGTTGGCTGTTTGAATCCACCAGAAACTTCTTGGAAATGGAAATCAAATTAAGAGCAAAAGAATCAAGTAATACTACAATTATGGAATTTGCTTTCATCGGGATATACCCAATCTCCACTGGATTCTCTTTGGGATATTTTTCATCATGTATCTGATTATTTTGTTGGGCAATAGCATCATAATATTGATAACAAGAATTGACCCGACTCTCCAGAACCATTTTGACACCGATGATGAATCCCGTTATACATTGCCTGAGGAACAAAGATGTCACGGTGGCGCTGAATAGATTACTACCTAAGTTGTTAACATGAGGCAATGACTTAAAATAACAGAAACAAATTATCAATGTTTTTGTCACGTAGATACAACAGGAAAAATCTTCTAGTTTTGTTTCTGCATTCCTAAATAGAAATAATAAATTGTGTGCTAACAATCTCACATTATGTCAAGGGAACTTTGTTTCATAGATTTAACTACTTCTGTGTAATCAAACCACAAATTAACTATATTGCAAAAATCTAATCTTGAAGATCAATCTTTCCTCTGACTGTGAACAAGTGAGTTTTGAGACTGTCTGAATAGTACAATGGAAGATAATTGAGTGTGTCATATAATTAGGAATTAGGATTATGCTCTGTGATAATTTTTTCTTATATTTACTATTCCTTCAGAGGTATTTGCTGCCCTTCTCTGACCCTCTGGTTGGATTCAGCCAATGAGAAACACCAGCAGTAGCTATGATGGTGGAAGCCTGGGAGAACTTGGGGTTTTCTTTGCATTTCTTCTGTGCTTCTATGTCTTGTCTCTGGCCGTGTCCCTTAAAACTACACAAGCTGCAGGCTGTATCCTCATCTATGATCTCACCTCTCACCATTCTTTGGTAACATTATATCCTCCCCTTTTAGCTTCAGACCTTGGTTTTGTAAAATCTTCCTACACATGCAAGGTTCAGGTATTTTCCCCATAATCTAACCATACCAATGTAAACAGCCCTTTCATTAAAGTACTTTAATTGGAAGCTTCTGGAATGAATTCTGTATTGCCAGGCCCCCACTAGTACCTCATTCTTACATTCTATTCTTGCGTACTTTTTGGGCAGTGATTTAACATTTTTTTCTTTGTGAAAGAAAAACAAAATACAAACTTTTTTACTCTATAAACTGATTCAAGAAAAATCTCTTATAGAAATAGCCATACTTGTACAAAAATGACTATTACAAATATGCATTTGTTGAGGAATATTTAAAAAAAATATAGCAAAAAAATTAAATTTGAAGCAAAGGGAATTGGAGATTGTATTAAGAAACTGGAGTATGTCCATACCATAAAATTATACAGCCCAATGAAGAAGATTTTAGAAAATCAGTGGTGAAGGAATTCCAAGTCTGTGCTGATATGTAAAAGAAATTAAAATCTATTTATAAAATATTACCCTATTTTAGGAAAACAGTGAAAGAAAAACCCATTAAAAACAAACATGTTGCCAGTTAGTGAATTCTGACTCATAATGACACTGTTGGTTTTTGTTGATGTTAGGTGCCCTCAAGTAGGTTCCAACTCATAGTGACCCTATGTATAACCGAACTAACACTGCCAGGTCCTGTATCATTCTCATGATTGTTGTTATGCTTGAACCCATTGTTTCAGCCACTGTGTCAATCTATCTCTCCTCTTTTTCACTGACACTCCACTTTACCAAGCATGACGTCTTTCTCCAGGGACTGGTCCTTCCTGATAACATATCCTAAAGAATGTGAGACGAAGTCTCACCATCCTCACTTCAAAGGAGCATTCTGGTTGTACTTCCAAGACAGATTTGTTTGTTCTCTTGGTAATTCATGGTATATTCAATATTCTTCACCAACATTACAGCTCAAAACATCAACTCTTCTTTGATCTTCCTTATTCATTGTCCAGCTTTCGCGTGCATATGAGCTGACTGAAAATGCCATGGCTTGGATCAGGTGCACCTTAGTCCTCAAAGTGACATCTTTGCTTTTAACTCTTTAATGAGGTCTTGTTGCTGGGGTCTTCTGCCCAACCTGGGCAGCCCCTATGAGGTTCTTGCCTTCTACTGACTAAGAATGACCAGGAGAGGCTCAAGTTTTCTGCACGAACAAAGCTTTATTGAGCAAAAGTAGCTCGTGAACAGAGACAAACAGGGATCAAGGAACAAAGGATTGGCTAGGACTTATAAAGGTTTTTAGGTGGGAAAAGGCATCATCTTTATTCATGCAAGAGGCGAGGTTATGAAGATTTGGTGTGCACGCAGGAGGCAGCCCAAGATGGAACCCGTGGCAAAGGCTGGTGGGTTTGTTTGTCAAGACTTATTTTGGGATGTTGTACATGTGCTGTCTTTCCAGGTGCCGGTTTGATTCCCGCCAGGGTTCTCAGTTCTAGTTTGTCATCAGTAGAAGGTCATCGGTCGATCACTCCGTGGCATTTTACTTATGCCTAGAATACTGGATCAGACTAGTATGCCTACAAAACATCTTACAGGGAAGAATAATACGGAACTGGGTGGGTTGTTTGTTTTTACCTCATGCTCCAAGATGTGGGTTAATCTTCAGCTATATCAGTTAGGCTTGGTTAATCTTTCAGTTTTGTAACCTGGGCTTTCATTTAACCCATTGTTCCCTGCTGTTTTCTACCTGTCTTATTCCTTTGAAACAGATTTGCCCAGTGTAATGTGTCATTTGATTTCTTGACTGCTGCTTCCATGGGTGTTGATTGTGGATCCAAGTTAAATGAAATCCGCGATGACTTCAATCTTTTCTCCTTTTATCATGATATTGCTTATTGGTCCAGTTTTGAGGATTTTTGTTTTCTTTTTGTTGAAGTGTAGGACAGAGTAGAACTATTCCACAGGGTTTCTAAGTCTGTAATTTTTATGGAAGCCAACTGCCACAGCTTTTTCCTGAGGAGCTGCTGATGGATTGTACCACCATCCTCTGGTATAGCAGCCGAGCACTTAACCACTGCACCATCAGGGCTCCATACAATGAAAGATGGCACCTCACAATTCCATTCAATTATTTACATGTGCTGTCAGCAGTTAGTACGTGTATGAGCACTATTTGGGTGGGTGTTGATTAGAAGGGATTATTGGCTTCCTCACAGTGGCAGGATTTCAAATGATTTCTGCTTTATTTTTTATATTTTTTCTATATAGTTTGAATTTACTACAATGAGAAGGTAATTGGTGTATCACATGAAACAATAATCATTATTCATTCTGAAAATAACGTAAGAAAAAACATAGAAAATATTTCCATTTCTTCCTTTCTTCTTGCTACTAAATGTCTTAAGAATCTAGCACCTAGCAGAGATACTTCAACATCAGCCAAGTTGTCTTTGACTTGTGAAGGAAACAGAAATGTGTGTGTGTTTGTGTGTGCTGTATAAATCCAATGAAGAAAATACAAAGCTTTGAATATTGCCAAATCATTGATCAAAATTTCCTACCCATAAAAGTTTTATTATTAAACCTAAAAGAAAATGAACACAGTTGTATTGTTTTATCCATTTTGATTATTTGAAAGTATTCACCAGAATTCACTTGGTGTACCCTCATAAGACTATTATTTAAAGACAAAGGATACTGTGCAGTGAGAAAAAGAAAATAACAGAAAACATTGCAGAGACGTATTCAACAAAAAGAATTCCCCAGTGTCCTTTCTTTGCACACCCAAAGCTTCACTCTGGCTTGAGATTCTAAAATCTGTGCAAGGAATCTTTTTTTTTTTTTTCTGGTAAAGTTCAGAGAGCAAGGCAAGGTGGGATTGGGGTTAGGATTTCACCTGGTCATGTAACCAAGTGAGGCTTGTCAAACCAGTTAGCACAGTTGAAAATCATCAGTAAAGAAACCCCAGGATATTTTCAGACTTTAAACAGCATATAATAAAGTTCGTTGATTTTATCTTAGCCTAGAATGAAAAAATTAGATATCCATAGATAAGGATAGAATTTTTCCAGTACAAGTGTGTATCAAGTCTATTTCCTCAGTGGTAATGACTGTATTCAATAACCTGTTAAGCCACTGCATTAATTTTCTAATTCTGTGTAACAACCAACAAAATTTGCAGCTTAAAATAACATAAATTTATTATTTCACAGTTTATGTAGGTTAGAAGTCTGGTAAGGCATGGCTGGTTTCTCTGCTTACAGTCTCAAAGGCTGAAATCAAAGTGTCTGCTAGGTTGCATTCTTGTCTGAAGACTTTTGGGAAGAATATCTGATTCCAAGACCCTTGAGGTTGTAGTCAGAAATCGATTTCTTCTAGTTGTAGGACTAAGGTCCTATTTCCTTAAGAGATGTCAGTTAGAAGTTACTATGAGCTTCTAGAAGCCATACACAATCCATGCCATGTGATTCCTTCCATCTTTCTCACCTTGAATCTCTCATTTCCTGTCTTTGAACTCTGGACCCAGATTTAAAGGGATCATGTGATTCAGTCTGTCCCACCTGGATGATTTTTCTAATTTAAAGTAAACAGATTTGAAACCATAATTACATTTGCAAAATCCCTTCATGCAACATCTGGATTAATGTTTGATTGAATAACTGGGAGAAGGGCTGTGTGCATTCTGGAGCAGAAATCTTGGAGATCATCTTAGAATTTTACCTACCACAGTTATAAAATAAATATAAAATGTAGGGAACAAAGATAAATAATATGAAAGCAAAAATTGAATAAAATAACAAAAAATAGAATCAGTAAAAGTTGATGGAGCAGTTCTTTGAAAACAGAACTAAGTAACCTATGACAAGTTGTATTGAGGGGGGACAAAGCAAACACAGTCATTACTAGGAATAAGACAGAAAATACGACCCCAGGGATTGAGGTGATTTGTTTACATTATAGAAAGTTTGCATGTAAGTTTGCTAAATCTATAAATTACAGAACCAAAAGCACTGTATTCCAAGAAAATATCAATTCCACAAATACGTAAGCATATACATACATACATACATACATAATTCTTGGAGAAACCTTCAACAATTGTAACCATGACCAACTTTTGCATTGCTCAATATTTTAAAATCTATTAATTCATTTGAATTAAAGAAAATGTTACTTAATGTTCACTATAAGTCAGATGCCATTTTAGGAACACGATATAATTCATCACAATAATAAATCAATGTAATTCATCACAATAATAAATCAATGAAAACTAGTGAAGATGATTTGAAAAAATAATCTTAATTTCATATAAAAAATAGTAAACCCTAAAAACATTGATCACATTCTCAAAATAATACAAAGCACTGCTCTCCTATTCTAGTTTTCCTCATCTTTTGACGATAAAATGACATGCTTAAGTCTGTATTTTATAAAGATTTGTTTATTTTCCATTTCAATTTGATATTAAACACGTATCCTTATGTTGTCTGTAAATGTGTTGGAAGCAAAGAGGGGCAGTGGCAACTAATAAAATTGCAACTTCTGAAGGTAAGGGGATCTAACTGGCTTAATGAATCTGTGATAGCCAGACTTCTACCTTCAGTAAAGATGGAGTATCTTGACTTGATTTATCTCCAGTGAAACAACTGAAACTCTAGAGGCACAAAAAAAAAATAACAATAGCTATCAAAACATTACATATCAATTAAAGAAGGACAATGCTATCTATTTTTCCTATGAAAATTTTGTGTAACTTCAGGCCACAATGATTTTCTACTGTTTTCTTCTAGAAATTTTAGATTTTTAGGATTTATATTTAGGTCAACAATCCCAATTTGTTAATATTTATATTTATAATGTTATGAAGGATGGATCTAAGTTCATTTTTTAATAGAGAAATGTAATTGTATTCCAGATTTAAAATGCTTATATTTAACACAGTCTAGAGGTATACTTTGATATAGTATCTATGTTGTTCATGACAAAAATTAATTAATTAATTCTCTAGCCAGGTTTTGTGAGGTTTTTTTTTTTTTGTAAGGTAGATCACAATAAATAAAGCATGGATATGCAAGGGTGAGAGAAACCTAGTGTTGCTATATTCCAAGGTCCAAATAGTGGAATAAAGGGAGAAATATTAAGAAAATGGAGGTAAGAAATGGCCTCAAATACACAATTCTGATCTTGAACAGTCTCCAGTGAGTAAGTGGTTTGCTCTGTCTAGGGCATACTTGCTCTCTGCCAAGATCTAGCTGGGATGAGGACATGAATCCCTAGGGGGAATAGGAAAGTACAACTTTATCCAGAGTTTCTGGAAAAACAACTTAGAATAAGTGGCAAGCAAAGGCATCATTAAATATTGAGGTGACATCTGGGAAAGGAAATGCAACCATTGTAAAAGGAGGGATATTTTTGTTTAAAGAGAAGTTGTTGGTTTGAAGTAATATATTCTGAAAGAGATGTTAGTTCCAGTTAGGAGAAAAAAAATCTTACTAAAGCAGAAGTTTATTACAAACCCATATATATATAGATATATAAAACCTTTGGACTTAAACAGTTCTACTGAGAGAAAAAAAAAGCAACTTTCGTCAAATCTAGCAGAGTAAGTATGACATCTTTTATGTTGGTATGATTTTTGTGTTGGTATCTTATATTTATCTTAGAACACTATAAAACTCTGAGAATCACAGTTCGGGGACAAATAACATAAAACCAATTGTAAACTAAAAAATTAGCACTCAAATTAAAGCCTGCAAATTTGAATTTCTCACTTTCTTAATTATGAAGTAAACTAAAAACAAAACCGATACTAAAACACTTTGAACGTCATAAAACCCAATATTAATACTGCACATTTAATGATAAAAATAAATTAATGATAAAAATAAGTAAATTACTGAAAGTTTCATTTATAGTAAATCACTTCTAATATGCAAAACATTAGATTACCTTTATTTATACGTGCTTCTATGACTCATTCCATAATAAGACGCTTGCTATTTTAATGGAGAATCTATCTCTGATTTTTCTCAAACATTTAATTTTCTCGAAATGTTGACCTTTTTAGAATGGCAGAATTAAATAATAACAATAGTAATAATAATTCACAAACACGGAACTTCTTATTTAATTTTTTTTTCTCACAGCACGCTTCTTCATATCTTAAAAGAAGTACTAAAAAGTTTTAAGTCAACATTTCAGTTTTGTTGAGAAGCATTGAGAAATTACTGAATTTGAGAAAGAAAGCTGGTGTTGAAGGATTTGGGGGCGATGTCCAGTGTTTCTACTTACAGCTGTCATCAAATAGGATAAAATCATAACCAGCTGACATCAGGCTCATAATGAAAAATGATAGTGACATAAAAGTGGGTTCTCTTGGTCTGGCTCCTTTTTCCGTAATAACTAGCACTGGAAACCATTTTCTTTATTCATATCTGAATAGATATTTTCTTGGGTCTTATAACATGAAATTATAAGTTTGTCGGGATTCTTCTCTGCCTTTTTAGCATGAGTATTGAATTCTTATAGAATATTACATTAAATTAAATGCAGAATAATAGTTTAAAAATATTATGTGTCCCACACTCTGTTCGTTTAATATAGAGGAACATTGTGGAATATGAAAAACAATCTCTGTGTTATGGGAAGTTGTCAGGTTAGGGAAAGATAAGACACAGGGATAAATTCTCCTAGAAGCAATATCAAGTGTCAGTGAGTGACACACAGTTTAGGAATAAAAGGACAGAGACTGAGATCACACTGAAACTTAAAATAATCTCTGAGAGATTCATGAGGGTCATCCCACTGGGTGAGTAAAATAGTTATGCATTTATTTAGTTTGCATTACTGAACTTTGACTATCATGTAACATGTCTAATATTATATAAATACATAAGATACATAATTGAGACCCTTACATAGAAGCCCCATCTGGTCTCCTATCAGTCAATATCTTGTCTGTGTAGTTTTATTACATTACTTAGAACAGCATTTTATATAGATATGTGGAAGGAGAGAGAAAACTGACTTTATGGCAAGCAAGACAACTGGTAAGTATCAGATCCAAAAATAAAGAAAACATGCTCAAGAGTCAATGTCAAAAGTAGTACGGATGGAAGTGACGTTTCGGGTAAGAAAGCAGTGGATAATTTTAATACTTAACAATCTTGTTCAAAAATTATTTATTGACACTTTTCTTATGGTGCTCTGTCCTGGAGATTCCTTAATCACAAATACGATCAGAATTACAGAATATAACAATGCCATATAATAAACTAAATAAATCTTAGGTAAGCTTTTTATAACTTCTCCTTTATTCTCACAACAACTCTAAGATAGATATTTACGTCCATATTTTTATCAAATATAAAAAAATGACTTTAAATATTTAAATGATGACTGAGGTCAACTAAAACCCTAAGCATTGACAACCTAATTCAAACCTAGATCTATTCTCTTGATCTGGAAATTCTTCTAGAATTATCATGGGGATTAAAAATTGTATACGCTACTTCCACACACCTCGTTAGACTGTAGAATTGGAAAACAGGTCAAAAAGATAATTAATTAATTTCACTACTTTCACAGATGGAACACCTACCAGAAGTAAACCTCACTTCAGTGACGGAATTTTTTCTTTTGGGGTTCACTGATATTCCTCATCTTCAAATGTTTCTTTTGGGGATATTTTTCTTTGCTTATGTGATTATCTTGATGGGAAATGGCATAATTATTCTCATAACCAGGGTAGACAAGGCTCTCCAGACTCCCATGTATTTTTTCCTGGTAAATTTTTCCTTCTTGGAAATCTGTTACGTGTCAATCACTATTCCTAAAATGCTCGTGAACCTTTGGACTCAGCAAAGAAATATTTCTTTGTCTGAATGTGCTACACAAATGTGTTTTTTCCTTATACTGGGAAGTACGGAGTGTTTACTCCTGGCAGTGATGGCCTATGACCGCTATGTGGCCATTTGTAACCCTCTGCACTATCCTCTAGTCATGAACCGCAGGGTCTGTACCCAGTTGGTGACTGGCTCCTGGATCACTGCAATCCCAGTTCAGATAGGGCAAACATATCAGATTTTCTCTTTGCCATTTTGTGGATCTAACCAAATCAACCACTTCTTCTGTGACATCCCTCCATTATTCAAGCTGGCCTGCGGGGACACCTTTGTGAATGAGATGTCGGTCTACATTGTGGTTGTGTTGTTTCTCACAGTTCCATTTCTGTTGATAATTGGCTCCTACGGAAAAATCATGTCCACCATCCTGAGGTTACCATCAGCCACAAGTCGAGCCAAAGCCTTCTCCACCTGCTCATCTCATCTTACGGTTGTGGCTTTATTCTTTGGATCAGGAATCATTACATATTTTCAACCCAAATCCAAACACTCTTCTGGAAGAGACAGAGTTCTCTCTCTTTTCTATACCATTGTCACCCCAATGTTTAACCCCATAATATACACTTTGAGAAATAAAGATGTCATGGCAACTTTGAGAAAATTGCTACCTTAATGTTTAGTCACATTAGCCACAAATTTGAACTCATTACATCTTTTCTCATTTAATTTTGCACTTATATAATCAGAAATTAAGTTTAGTTTGATTCCATGCCTTAGTGTATATTGATTATTTTTACTCATTCTTGAGCTTGCCATTTTATGTCAGACTTTTTGATATCAGGGTCGTATTCACAATTGTTGTATTGCAAATAAGAAATTAATTATTTTGACAAATTTCATATATGGTGAATTAGTTTACCACCCCTACAAGTTAAATGGTGATTTGAGACTTCTCCCTGAATAATGTCTCTCTTATCTATTAATTGATTTCACAATAGCTTTTTTTCCTAAAAATCATTCCCCTTTATGTAGCTTTTGTTTTTGTTGAATGTTCTCTTTATATGACTATCATTTATTTTTTTTTCTTTTCATAAAGATATCTACTAGTAAAGAGTATTGTATATGGTATACCTTTGGAGAATATTTGTTGAACAATGTGCTTATATTTTTAGACATTTTATTCATTCAACACACTGAAGTTTCTGGTTTAAGATTTTCCATAGAGAACCAAACTAAAACCAAACTCGTTGCCCTCGAGTTGATTCCGACTCATAGAGACCCTATAGGAGAGTAGTACTGCTGCATAGGGTTTCCAAGGAGCGGATGGAGGATTCGAACTGCCAATCTTTTGGTTAGCAACTGAGTTCTTAACCACTGCTGTACCCAAGGCTCCTCTACAAAGAACACTTCAGAAATAATTAAAAATGAAAACTCCACAAAACAATACTGACAAGGTTGGTGGGTATGGTGACAAATCTTTCAACTGTTAAAATCACTTAAAATTGTAAAGCCAGCCTTGAAATGAAAATCAGATGAGATACGAAGCATATTAAGCCATGATCTACCGCATTCTGTGATGGTATTTGATTATCTATATATCTATCTATGTATATATATGTGTGTGTGTGTGTGTGTGTGTGTGGGTATGTATATATGGAGCCCTGGTGGCAAAGTGGTTAAGAACTCAGCTGTTAACCAAAAGGTTAGCAGTTCAAATCCACAAGCCACTACTTAGAAACCCTATAGGGCAGTTCTACTCTGTTTTATAGGGTCTCTATTGAGCCAGAACTGGCTCAATGGTACCAAACAACACCTAAAAAAACAACAATATGCATAAAATCTATACTATATATTCTTAATTATAAATGATATTTATTATACATGTATGTATGTGTACATATGTGCATATACACACACACACACACACATATATATGTGCCTTAGTAGTGCAATGGTTAAGCCGCTGTGTTGCTAACCAAAAAGGGAAAGGTCGATGATGATTGGAACCCACTTGCAAGTCTGAAGGAGAAAGATGTGGAAGTCTGCTTCTGTAAAGGTTTACAGCCTTGAAAATCCTATAAGGCAATTCTACTCTGTCCTATAAGGTCGCTATGAGTAGAAATCAACTTGACAGCAGTGGGTTTGATTTTGATATACATAGAAATATATAAAGTGTTAATGTCCTCACATTATTTATAGATCAAAAAAAACAAAGGCTCAGAGAGTTTGCATAATATTTCTACTTTACAGACATTCAAGGATTTTAACTCACTACCCATGTTCTATTTCTAGACCTGGGTTTGAGTTAGGCCCTCACCACTAAGTTGTTGTTTGACTTGGACAATTATTTAGTCCTTCAATGTCACTTTTTATATTTGACAAAAAAAATAAATAAATACAGCAACCTTACAGAGTTTTTGTGAGAATTAATACCTTGCAAAGAGCACACCTTTCATAGATTTACTTTATCATATGACATTGTTATATCCTATAATTATAATCAGATTTGTGATTAAGGAATTTCCTTAACATCTTCCCTTACCTACAGGCTTAGGAACAAAGATATCATGGAGAAAATTAGGAAGTTAATTAATCACCAAACTACTTTCTCACTCAATATAATCTAAATAAGTATTTATTCGTTTATTTCTTATTTCCCAACACTTTTCAGATACATTGTTGATGGCAATTTGCTCTTTTTTGAGTGCCATCTAAGTCAATTGTTGTTATTGTTTTTGTCACCTACCATCTAGTCAGAGCCCAACTCATGGTGATCCCATGTGTTACAGAGTAGAACTGTGCTCCATAGGGTTATCTTGGCAGTAATGTTTACTGAAGCAGACTGCCAGGCCTTTCTTCTGTGGAGCCACTAGGTGGGTTCCATCTGCCAATCTTTCCATTAGCAGCTGACTGCACACTACTTGTATCATCCAGTTTTCTTCTTAAATCAATTAAACATTGTATATTCTATGATTTTCAATCTTTTGCATGCTTTACAAACATCTTTGGGTTAATGTAGAAATGATACATTCACATTCCTTTGCTCTCAGGTGGTGTCAGAAAAACATATTTTAAAATGTCCCCATTGGACATTATCTGAGTCAGGATGAATAAGTAGAGGTCTCTATTTAGGAACTCAATACTTGTATTATTGTTTGACTTTAAGTTGTGCTTAACAAAAGATTGCTAAACACATTAGACCATCTCAAGAATAGATTTGATTCATTGAACACTAATGACTAAAGAACAGATGAGTTGTGGAATGACTTCAAGGATATCATACATGAAGAAAGCAAGAGGTCATTAAAAAGACAAGAAAGAGAAGACCAAAATGGATGTCAGAAGAGACTCTAAAACTTGCTCTTGAATGTCCAGTAGCTAAAATGAATGGAAAAAATGATGAAGTAAAAGAATTAAACAGAAAATTTAAAAGGGCAGCTCGAGAAGAAAAAGTAAAGTATTACAATGACATGTGCAAAGACCTGTACTTAAAAAAAAAAAAGGAAAAACATGCTAGGCATTTCTCAAGCTGAAGAACTAATATTGGAGGATTCTATGGCCAAAATACTGAATAACACAGATAGCTTCAAAAGAAGGTGGAAGGAATACATAGAATAACTGTACCAAAAAGAATTGGTCAATGTTCAGTCATTTAAGGAGGTAGCATATGATCAAGAACCAATGGTACTGAAGGAAGAAGTCCAAGATGCACTGAAGGCATTGGCCAAAAACGAAGCTCCAGGAATTGATGGAATAACAATTGAGATGTTTCAACAAATGGATGCGGTGCTTGAAGTGCTCACTCATCTATGCCAAGGAATTTGGAAGACAGTTACGTGGCGAACGGACTGGAAGAGATCCATATTTATGCCTATTCCAAAGAAAGGAGATCCAACCAAACGGGGAACTATTGAACAATATCATTAATATCACACACAAGTAAAATTTTACTGAAGATCATTCAAAAGCAGCTGCAACAGTACATCAACAGGGAACTGCCAGCAATTCAAACAGGATTTAAAAGAGGACTTGGCACAAGGGATACCATTGCTGATGTCAGATGGATCCTGGCTGAAAGCAAAGAATACCAGAAAGATGTTTACCTGTATTGTATTGACTATGCAAAGGCATTGGACTGTGTAGATCATAACAAATTATGGATAACATTGTGAAGAATGGGAATTCCAGAACACTTAATTGTGCCCATGAGGAACCTGTACATAGATCAAGATGCAGTTGTTCAAACAGAACAAGGGGATACTCCGTGGTTAAAAGTCAGGAAAGGTGTGCATCAGGGTTATGTCCTTTCACTATACCTATTTAATCTGTACGGTAAGCAAATAATTTGATAAACTGGACTATATGCAGAAAAACACGGCATCAGAATTGGAGGAAGACTCATTAACAATATGTGATACGCAGATAACACAACCTTGTTTGCTGAAAGTGAAAACGGTCTTGAAGCACTTGCTGATGTAGATCAAAGATCACAACCTTTAGTATGGATTACACCTCAACATAAAGAAAACAAAAATCCTCACAACTGGACCAGTAGGCAACATCATGATAAAATGGAAAAAAGATTGAACTTGTTGAGGATTTCATTTTACTTGGATCCACAATCAACATCCATGGAAGCAGCAGTTAAGAAATCAAAGGATGCATTGCCTTGGGCAAATCTGCTGCAAAAGACCTCTTTAAAGTGTTAAAAACAAAGTTGTCACTTTGAGGACTAAGATGTGCCTGACCCAAGCCATGGCATTTCAATTGCCTCATACGCATGTGAAAGCTGGACAATGAATAAGGAAGACGGAAGAATTGATACCTTTGAATTCTGGTGTTGGTGAAAAATGTTGAATATACCATGGACTGCCAAAAGTATGAACAAATCTGTCTCGGAAGAAGTATAGCCAGAATACTCCTTAGAAATGAAGATTATGAGACTAAGTCTCACATACTGTGGACATGTTATAAGAAAGGGCCAGTTCCTGGAGAAGGACATCATGCTTGGTAAAGTGAGGGTCAGTGAACAAGAGGAACATCCTCAATGAGATGGATTGACACAGAGGCTGCAACAATGGGCTCAAACATAGCAATGATTGTGAGAATGGTTCAGGACTGGGCAGTGTTTCGTTCTGTTGTACACAGGGTCGCTATGTTGGAACTGACTCGGCACCTAACAACAACAACAACAAATACATTTCATAACTGCCTTTACTGTATCCTCACAACCAATTCTTTTGATTCAGAAATTATATAAAGTACAATTTGCTACTTCCCTTTAACAACTTTATTTTATTTCAAGTAACAGAAAATTTGAGTTTTGCATTATGAAATGTTATCTGATTCTTAAGGAGGAAAATGAAAATGTTAGCTACGGTTTATATACAGCCTCAGTTTTTGAGTAGCAATGTAATATAGTTCAATTAAAATTGTTGAAAATAATACCTAATATGAAGAAAAAATTTAGTTTACTTCTTCCAGTCTTATATCCAAAACTCAGTGATAATAAAATCAAGATTAATACAATGTACTTTTTGATGACCCATTCTTCCCATCAGTCTTCTCCATATCAGTAAATGATATCCATATTTACTCAGTTGTTAAATAAAGGTGTAAACGTTATTTATGATTTTTATCACCTCTCACATATATCTGTCAATCTCTCCAAAA